GTGTGATTTTCAAATTGAGAACAAAGTGTCGCTGCTCACCTTCAGTGAACTAGTTGACTTATAAATAATGTGGCATTAACTCTAAATTTTAGCTAGAATGAGGTGTGTGAAATATGGTTCAGAAGTCTAAATCAGAAACCAGGAAATGTATTCATTTCATCAGTAATTCTTTATCTCTAGCCTACTTATCTCTAGCCTATCTCTATCCATCACTCTTGTTCTAATTTCCTTGGTATTTAAGGAAAACATTTACCTGTGTTTTTGTATCAATGCACCCTAGACTTTTCATTGCTGTTCCTTCTGTTAATTCCTCTTTCTTATGCATATAGTAGGCACTAATTTATTTGTTTCCTTTCTAATGTCATTATCTCATGAACATCAGAAAATTCACCACATTAGGAAACAAACCATCAATATTCTCCTTTGCCTCTTTAAGTTTTTTTCATTTTTTTGTTTTCTTGTTTTGGTGTACTACCATCACCCCCTGCCTGCCCTCTAGACATCTACCTTTTTCCCGAAAACTGTCCTTAGTACCATTCCCAATTTAATCAAGTTCTTATTTCTCTGGGAGAATTATTCACATGTAATGTATGAGGTTCTCCCTGACTTCACTGAGTATGTGCAGCGCCTCTGCTTATGTCTTAACTGCACTAGTACTCTTCTGTCGTCCATAGTAGACACCCAAAGTCAGGAAACAGTTCAAAGGTGCTGTGGTTATGCCAACTTTCCCTTAACACAAGCAGATATTAATAAGTCATCTGTATTAAGATTTCTAGCTTCATCTAAATTCCTGTTCTTCTTGAATATCATGCATGACACCACATCAGTTTGAACCAGATATTTGTTCTTTGTTTTGTATACATAAATATATACATTTTTCTGTATTGGTTTTACCAGGTGCCATTCAAGCTTCCCAATCCCTCAATCACTTTTCTCATCTAACTAGCACGTCTCAGAGGTAGCACCGTGAAATGGTGTTTCCTAAGCAGTGTCCTAGTTTCCTGCTACAGTCTTCAGAGTCTCTATAGCCACCTAGAGGACTTCTTTTCACCCCCTCCCTTTGAGGCAAGGTTTCTTTGTGGAGCCCTGGCTGTCCTGGAACTTGTACTGTAAATCAGGCTGGCCTCGAACACTGCCTGGTTCAGAGAACTTCTTTTTGTGCGGATTTTATCAGTGTATCCTAATACATTAATATGTAAAATATTTAAGAGTAACAATATTGAACAATTATATTTTGACATCAGTAACATGTTTATAAAGTTAACTGTTTTAAAAAGGAAGACATTCAGAAAGTAGCATTAAAACACTTTTGCCAGGCAAACACACATAAGACCACAAAAACAGTTAAAATGGAAACCGTAATATACAAGCAAAAGGTCAACAAGACAGAAAAAAGTGTTAAAACAGAGCAAAATGAGACAAAAAAAAAAGTCTACAAGATACCATTACGTTCATTTTCTGTTGGTCATCTACTGCTGGGCATGGCGCCTGCCCTGAAGTGTGCTTGATGTACTCAATGAGAAAATCTGGTTAAGTAGAGACAGCTAAACTCCTACACTTCTTCATGTAGTTTACTAGATACACTGGATGAAGTGCATGGAAGAATTCAACTATGTATAGACATGTAGTAGATGGAACTTTCAGATGAATCAAAACTTGACACGGGGTCTATGTTTCAAATGAGTGACTATAAAATGGGAATCTGAAGTATATCCGTGACTTACAGCCTTACACTAACATCTGCAATGGTCACTTGACACATAAGTATATCCGTGACTTACAGCCTTACACTAACATCTGCAGTGGTCACTTGACACAGTCTCTAAGTTCTTCAGACCTTCAGAGCACTGGTATGTTTCATAATGCAACTTTCTTGCAAACTCACATTTTAAAAAATGAATTTTATGAGAAAAGTTTGAACTTAACATGGTTGGAAAGTCGAAATTCACAGAATTTGCTTGAAAGTTGAGATTTTGTCACTGTCATTTCAGTTCTCAGTTGTCAGACTTTACCTGATTGTAAGCGTCTCCAGGTGTCCACAAGTCACACGACATAGAAAGAGAGGTGCTGAGTGAAGTTAAGCTTGCAGTTCAGATCTGTGTTCACATTAGCATGGAGCTTATGCAGGCTTCCGTTTCGCAGACAGTATTTAAAGGAAGTGTAGTAGGCTGGAGAGATGGTGGCAGACTGGAGCTATAATGCTTCCAGATACCAAATCTGGTTCCCAGCACCCACTGAAGTCTTCCCCCAGCTGCTTGTAACTCCAGTTTCAAGGGATTCGACACCTCTGCCTTCTGCTTCTACAGGCGCCTGCAGTCTCATGCACACATCCACACACCTATACCTTATTAAAAATAAATATAGAAGTTTTTTCAGAGTCAAGATTTAATAAAAGTTCTTACTGAAATTGTTCTTCACTCTTAGATTGTGCTGTGGCTACTGCTTTTCCATTCATGCGTGTGGGCCAGTAGTTTGACCTGCCATTGACTTTGAATATCCATCCAGCAAAAGCTACCAAATGACATTTTAATAAGGTCTCAGTATTATGAAAATCATTTTAACCTCATAGATGTCTTGAAAGGGTCTTGATACAAATGTGTTGCCCTGTTCACTCTACTTTTTTTTTCTGTTTTGTTTTGTTTTGTTTTTTGAGACAGGGTTTCTCTGTAGCTTTGGAGCCTGTCCTGGAACTAGCTCTTGTAGACCAGGCTGGTCTCAAATTCACAGACATCTGCCTGCCTCTGCCTCCCGAGTGCTGGGATTAAAGGCGTGCACCAACACCGCTTGGCTCACTCTTGCTTTCTTAATTTCACCCTTTATCGAATTCCCCCTTTGTTGTCTTGATAGTTCCCTAATCTATATTTCTCTCCCCCAGTCAGTAGTCATACTGGAATATAAATCTGATTATGCTGCTGCTCCTTATTAAATTTGCATTATGTTCCATCAGTTGTGTAAAATTCTGATTTCTTCGTAGGACACTAAAGGCCGTCTGCCTTCCCTTGTCCCGTCATCACTGTGTACCTCCTTTTCAGCCAGGGTCACTTGACTGTTGACTCTGCAATCCATACAACTACATGTACCATTCTTTCTACTTAGTTCCTACATAAACCTCTAACTGTATATCATTTTTTCAAGTTGCTTCATGTCACACATCGCAGAATTTTATATTAAAAGTTGTTAAGCCCTTAGTGCTTTACATCTGTTTTGCTTATGGCATTTCTCCCCACCTGATTGCAAACCTGTTGGAGTCCAGGAACTGGGTTGTCTCATACTGTTAGATACACTGAAAATGGAGCACATAGTAATCACTTGATTAGTGAACTTCATAGGAATTACTACCAAGTACAAATGCACTCCATGATATTTTATTCCTTTTTAGTATAACCTGTAAGTCCAGTTACTCCTCAATAATAAAAGTTTTGGACAGGCAGGAAATGTATATGTAAACATGTCTCTGCTTTATTAAATGAAATGCTTTATTTAATATTTACTTTTGACTGAAAATAAAATAGAAGGCATTTCTGAAAAAAATATGCTGAATGAAGTTTTGAAAAATTAACATCCATTTTATTGCTGCAACTCAAATTCTAATCCTGTTAGATTGTTTTCCCCTACTTAAAAGCTCTTATAATGGCCGGCATAGCGGTGTGCACCTTCAACCCAAAACTCAGGAAGAGAAACAGGTGGACCTCTGAGCTTGAGGCCAGCCTGGTGGAGGCACCATGTTGAGACTATTTCAAAAACAAACAAAAGAACCTCAATTATCAAAAGGCGAAGAGTTCTTTCTACTAGTGTTTGACAGTACTAGGTATTATATTAGCAGCATTCAAGCTTTCAAGTGTGTCCTCCACTGGATGTGCTCTTACAACTTAGCTGACTGTATTTTCTATTTTAGCTTAGTATAGTAGAATGCTTCCCTGTGAAGAGGCTCTTTTGGGAAGGCACCTAATTCAAGGACCCCGTCAATGTGCAGTGTTCAGTAGCAGAAACAACTTTCTTCACAAACAAAGGTGTTTTTACTAGGATTTTTGAATTTGAAGTTGAATTTTTCTTATATTTAAGAAATTTCATTGTCCAGCATTTATTTCATGTAGCATGTATGTCTGTATATAAAGAATAAATGCAAATTAAGTCATTTTGTAGATTAGATTGTCCGGCCTGTTGACCAATCACTGTGTATTAGCACCCATGTGGAGGAGATTAGTTTTTAGAAGCATGTCCGTCACTTAGAATCTACTGTGACTGAGCTAAGATGGCATGGCTTTCACATCCCAGCTAGATAGTCCATAGGCAATGTAATGTTTATACAACTCATGAGATTTGAATCTTCCAGACACCTTTATGTACTTTAATTATTTCTTCACAATAGATTTATTGATTTTTCTATCTGCCTTTAGCATATGTTTACTATCTAAAAGTCAGTCCTCATGGAGATCCCCCCCGCCCCAAAAGATGCTGAATTAATGAAGTGTGTATCATAGTCATATATGAATTCTTCAGTTTTTCCAGAGATACTTTTGGCCAGATACTGTTTCGTAGAATTATGTTTGGAATTTTCTTTTGTTCTTTCCCCGCACTGACTTCAAGATTTATGAATGGTTAACATTCACTGAGCCCTGTGTCAGTACTGTGTATAATTGCGATGCCCTGATACCTACTAAGGAAGAAAAGTAGCCTCATCACATTAAACATACAGAAAGTGATTGTAAAATGTTAGTAATTGTTACCCTCAGAAATGGATATATTGAGTTACAGATTTATAAGAATAATAGCAAATTTTATAATTTTATAAATTTTATTTGAAAAAGTTCCCTTTTGTATCAATTGTACTTCAAAGGAAATATATATTGAAAATTAAAAACCAAGTGATATATAATTATTTTGACCATAAAATCTGTTTTCCAGCATTCATTTACTACAAACATTGTCATGTTTCTTTTCTTTATTTCATAATTTTGTAATTCATTTTTATCTAATTTGACATTTTCATATTTTTAAAGGTCCCCAGGTGCATCCAATTTTTCAGCTTTACCAAAGATCTCTCCTTCATCTCTATCAAATAATTATAACAACATCAACAACAGAAAGTAAGCACTGAATCTTAAAAACTCTTTCTTTAATTGGTTAGCCCTATTATGATTGCAAAAAGATCTCTTTTATCTAAAATTTAGGATAAAAGTCTTCATGAATCAAAATTTGTTTTCTCTTAAATTAATGGTCAGTTCTTTCACAAGTCACTTCACAAGAAATAAAACACATTTTAAAAACTACCTGACTTAATACAAAATAGTCTGTAATAGTTAGCTGAAAAATAAAAAGAACTTTGAGCATTTTTTATTCTAATATTCAGATTCTATTTATTGAAATTTTTTATAGGACTTGGTTGCAACACAATCTCATAGGACTATAAATCTCACATGTCATCTTAGTCTGACCCATAATAAAGCATGTGTCAGTGATTCTTAGTTGGAGAGGAGATACTATAGAAAAAGCAATTTTTCTTAATAGTTTCTTTTCCCCATAATACATGGTATTTAAAATTATGTAGTTTGTGAAATGTGCTTGATTGCTTTTTTCAAAAGGCTAAACGTCACTAGGACCTTCCTTTAACATCTGACGGTGTATTTGCCACCTTAAAAATTGCAATTTTGTTTAGTCAGTCTACCCCTCCCACCTTAAATGGGTTTCAGAGATTGAAATCAGGTCACAGGCTCACCTGCCAAGTAATCTACCTGCTGAGCCATCTCACTAGCAAATCATGCCATTTTCATCTTGGTGGAGAAAAGAAAAAGAAATCCATTTTAATTATAATTTGCTCAGCCACTGTATGAGAACCTTTATCCCAATGGATTGTCCATCTTTATTAATGGGTATGATCTGTGTGCACTGTGGTTATGTGTTACTTCCACAGTTCAGATCGCTGACACGTTAGTGCACTTCACAGATGGCTGCTAATTTATAAACTCATAAACTTAAGCACTAAAGCAGTTTGGGAAATAATCATAAATCTAGCTGTAGTTACATTTATGAGTTTAATTTCCCTATTAAAATCCTCATGTTTTGTAGGAACATGGTAAAGTGATTCTGATATGTCTGGATTTTAAGTATACAATAATAGCTAAGAAAATGTTAAAGGAGAAAAATCATGAGAAAGGTTAGTTCTTTAGCATAGTACAAAAATACGCAATGTAAACAGCACATTTTCATCTAAGAAGACACATACGGTTAAGTGGAATCAGACAACCCAAAACATCTTTCCATGTAAGAATTTGATGCCATCGCAAAGCTTTCTAAACAATGAAAAAATATTACAGTTATCCAAGAAATACCATCCAAAAGATTGGGTAGCTTTTCTAGATGTTTTTTTCTTTAGAACTTTCAATCCAAGATTATTATTAAGCACTTAAAAGAAAGTAAAGAAATGGTGGTGGTGGGGGGGAAACACTTTAAAATCAAGTTCATAAAGGTTAGAGATTTCCTGAAACAGAAAACTAAATAATACAACCAGGTAATAAAAAGAATTAACTATAAATATTTGCATGTCAGGTTCTCATTAATTGCTTTTGTAAATTACAACCATAAAAAATTAAACTATGATATCTATTCTTGTAAGGCTTTCTTCTGAGTAGCTGTAATAGTGGCACTTTTAGTAAAAAGTTTCCCAGTTCAGATCCAACAAACTTAAAACATATCTTCTTTTCATAATTCATTAAAAGTAAACACACCGTGTATTAGTACTACAGTGTAGTGTAGTAGTACAGCGTGGAAGGTGTGAATATCCAGGTGCTATGTTTCTTTCTCTTCTACATAAAAGTGCATACCATCAGGAAGAGCTTCTTGAGAATAAATATTTTTTAGCCCAGTTTATATTTTATGTTTTTTAATTCATCAAAATTGCTTTTTGTAGGCGATAATGTTATGTTTGTAATGTTGCTAATGGCTCCCACATCTACAATAAAATAAGTAAATATGCCCTTGTGCTCATTTTTAAAGCAATTTTAACATTATGCCTAAGTGGTATTGACTAGAAACTGTATTTTGACTGGGGTCATTGTGTTGGTATATGTGGTTTCTTGTTTTTCTGTCTTTGTCTTGTGTTTTTCCTTTATATAATAAAAATATCAAAGTGCACTCTAGTCTCAGAGAACCTCTGGAAAGAGAAACTCCTGAGGGAAAGGGAAGTTGTTTAGGGAACTGTGACAGGAACTACCTCCTAAGGAACTCCACCGTGGTCATTTGTGAGCTTGGAAGTAAGTTGTGTGTATGACTTATCTTTCTGAGTAATGAACAGACTTTAGGAATTTTGTTTTGTGTTGCCTTAATTTTTAATATATGAATTTAATGTATTTAAGCAACTATTTTATGTAAGGTTTTTTTTTTTAATTTGACTTGTAGAAATAAGTAGTAGCCAAATACTTGAGGTGAAAATAGTGTAGTTTCAATAAAAGTAGGTCAACAAGTTAGTGACCTTTCTAGGTAACATAGTTTTAAACTTCATGTATGTGGAAGTAGTCTCCAGAATTAAATTGTATATTAAAATCTATAGTTATACTGTAGACTTAATTATATAGTAAGAAGAGTAGATACACAAGATTATCTGAAACATAATTACAAGTCCAAGACTTGAATTATTATATCCTAAGAAGTAAAATTTCACTTTCAGAAATAATTGTAACTGATAATGTACATTTACAATTATTCAATTTAAGTTAATAAAATTTGAAACATTGTGAAAAGTCTACTTTTAGAATACATTTTATTTATCCTTTCCAGTAATGTTACTTCTCAGGTCATAAAATATTTTTGCCTCAATTATAATTTATGAGTACTTTTTAAATATGCCAATTTTTTAACTATTAATGTTTTCGTTACCTTTATTTTTCTGCCTTATGTATTTCATAATATTACTAACATTGCTATTAAAGCTATTTTAATGATCTGTTGTCTGGATTTTAATTTCATATCAAAGTAGGTGTTTTTTTTTTAATTTGTCTCAGTCTCTTGAAATGAAAATGATGCCCTGTATGAGAGTAAGTCATATCAGTAGCTATAGACTTTGTGGTCGTCTAGAACTTGCCATCTGTTTTTGTTAAATAACCTAGGTGAAAACATTTCGTTAACTGCAAAGTTAGCATGATTAAATATGTGTTTATGATGTCAGATATCAACACTAAATGAAAAGTCAATCAGAAAGCTAAATAAAAGGCGTATAAAATGTTCCATTTTTACATAATCACCATTAAAGAAGATTTACAAACAGTATTAACACAGTACAGTATTACAATGCCTACTAACACTTGTGTAAATTTTATCTTTCAAAATCATTAGCAAAAAAGAGAAGCAGATGCTTCGTGGGCCTTAGGAAAGCTTTTCAGGCTTCCATGTGCTCTGTTGAGTGTACAGATAGCTGATAGCTCCTGTCCTTGCCAGGAAGAGCTTTCCTGTGCAGTTAAAATACGTAACAGGGAATATGAGTGGCCAGGAGAGCTGGATCATTGGTTTTTAATTCATTGTCTTCAGTATCATCATTGTACTTGTAGACTGTCTTAATCTTTGGGTGAGCATTATACTCATCCCATCATTTAAACCAAAGTATAGACACATCTTAAAAGATTCAGATTTTCTTAAACAACCAGAAAACTGCTTTGCACATTGGTTTTCCCATTTCAGGGTAAATAAAAAGTCTAGAACATCAAAACAGTGTTTTACTTTGAGCATGATTCTCATTCATGTTTGTACTAATGAATTATAAGCATTTCAGTATCTATTTCTGTTTAATGTAAGTGTGCCTTCACTGGTTTGATATATGTGTGTGCGTGTGTGCATGTGTGTGGACACCCATGCACATGCATACACGGGGCACGCATGAGTGTGTAGTTAGGGTACTTTGCTCTTTTGCTTTAGCTACTTAAATTTCACAGTCAAGCTATATCTTTTTTTTCTCCTCTGTCAGACCTTTTTAAACACTGTATAGGAGAACTTGATTTTAATTACATTCTGAGTGATGATACATTAAAGTCTAACAGGTTCTTAGTAAGTTTTTACTTACTAGGACTATAAAACAGAATAAGATATATTATACCGCTAGTAATTTAAAAGAGAAAAAACTTGAGTTCTGTTTGTCTTTTTTATAATTAAGTTTATGACAAAAGCCGTAAGTCCAACAGTTGTTACATTTCTCTGGGCCTTGATATTTTCATTCAATCTTAGAGTGGATTCTTTTTGGAAAATCAGGGAGTTGGTATTTTTGTTGTTGTTGAGAAGGGAATGAATTTTTTAAGCACTAAAAATATTTATAGTCTTATTAAAAACACTTAGGAGAAATATGAAGAGGAGTTTTATGGGATCATATTAGAGTGGAAGAGAAAATCAAGGCTGAAAGTCTCAGCTTCAGCTGGGGAATGTAACTGGGGCAGGGAAGAGAGAAAGCCTTGCTTTTCTGAGTTGGAGGTAAGCTTGCAAATGAGCAGCAAGAGGTATGGAGTCCTTCCAGAAAGAATGAGGCGGCCCTGTGGGTGTGCAGGGGTGGGAGGGGTGCAGTGACAGGTCAGGAAAACGGACAGGCTTGACAGTGAAGAACGGTAAGGAAATGCATCAAAGCTGGGCTTCTGGAGTCTATAGGACTGTCTAATTAGAGAAGCGTTTCAGCATGTGTTCCTGACTCTGGAGGAAAGGGGCAGCGATGCTTTGTAATCCTGTAACCCCTATGCAGTGGCTCTCACCTTCCATCACATGCGACCCCGCTGATGCCAGCCATACAGTTATTTTGGTTGCTACTTTATAACTGTGATTTTGCTACTGTTATGAATTGTAATGTAAATATTTTTGGAGATAGAGGTTTGTCAAAGGGGTAGCAACCCACGGGTTGAGAACCACTACCTTTAGGGAAATTTAGAATATTGTATCTCCACTCAGGGCCAGAGATAAAACTCATATCACAATCTGTTGACGAATTTCACTAACAAAGTAGATTGCAAAGTGAGTAAAGAAAAATTTTTAAATAAAAACATAAAAATAGCTATGGTTTACAAGGAGGAAGTAGCTGTCCTAGAATGTGCCTCAGCCGAGCTCTGAGGTGTTTCTAATCCTAAAGACAAGAATTGGGATATTGTCCTTTCTTAAAAATTAGTATATGGCCTCCAAGCAGTAGTGCTTCCCAGCACTTGGGAGTCAGAGGCAGGCAGATCTCTGCGTTCTAGGCCAGCCAGCCTGGTCTACAAAAGCTAGTTCCAGGGCAGGCTCCAAAGCTACAGAGAAACCTTGTCTCGAAAAACAAACAAACAAACAAACAAAAAAACTATATTGCCATGAAAGTTCTCCAAAGGCTGACCCGTGAGTTAAAGGGTCTGACCATGACCTCTTGCCTGTTGATTGTCTGACAAGCCACCTAACAGCTGTGTTTAATCTTGGGTTTACTGTTTTCTGTTGTCTGTTTGGTATGGTGTACATATGTTTACTAAAATCTTTTTTAGAATAAGCAATACTGTAATTCATATAAACCATTGTAATCTAGTGAGAGTATAATGTCTAGAGTAACAAAAAATATTTGAAACCATGAGAAAATTAAATATCAGGAATAAATTATAGCCAGGAAGTATTAGTGGAGTTACTAACTTATTGTGTTTATTTGTAAAACTACATTTTATTTGTATCATCATTTACTTCTATTGTATGACGTTGAATTGCATCCAGCTTCATCCTAATGAATAAAAAGGGCGAAAAATATGATTTTGAACTGTTTGCAGAGTATCTCTTAGATAGTCTCATAAAAAGCTATCATAAAAATTAAGAATTCCTCCTTTTCATAAAATTATCTTATATAAAAATAAGAGATTTAACTTATTGACCTAAATAATTCTAAAATTATGCTGATTTCCTAAATTTTAGATTATAGAGTTTTTCAACATTTATTATACTGATAGAGGTTTTTTTGTTTATAAAGTTAAAGTGAGTATTGCAGAAAATAGGAGCAAAGGTGAGTGAGTGGTCCTGCCTGGATCTGCTTGTATGCAATCCTTTCTGCATTGCTGATCAGAGGCTGCTCTCTGCACTTCCGTGCTAGAGTTTGCTAGTCCAGCTTAGAAGCTATAAATAGAATCTTCCCTGCATCTCAACGTGATGTCACAGTGGCCTTGGGCCTCTTGGTGTTCATCTGTAGCTGAAGCCCAACTCTTGCCGTTCCTGCACTTGTCGTCTTACCACAGCAGACTGACTCAAAGCGGACTTTAATGAGATGATTAATTGCTGCGGATGGTGTTTAAAATCTGAGTGTTTTCATTTTGATGGAGCAATGCAGAATGGAGCAAGCCACGATGCTGCTCCTGTTAACCCAGGGTAGAATGATATAATAGTGGGTTCTGTTGAGTGATGTGGCTTCTGATGTGGTGCTTTGTTGCTTGGATAAAAAACACCTTAATTAAGGAGGTTACTTTGAAAATGGTGTCTCAAGATGTTCCACTTGAGTGTTTAGCAAAATATCCTTAATGATTAACCAGATATTCCCTGCATATGCTTAAAGTACTCTTTATTGTAACCATATTGTGATGCAACTGGCTACATTTTTATAATTTTTTTCTTCCAGTGTGAAAAACTCAAATTACTGTCTCCCATCATATACTGCTTATAAGAACTATGATTATTCAGAACCTGGAAGAAACAATGAACAGCCAGGCCTCTGTGGCTTAAGTAATTTGGGAAATACATGTTTCATGAACTCAGCCATTCAGGTAGGTCTTTCCAAACAGAGTGAAAATTGTGCTTCATGAATTCATTACTGCAAAAAGGATGGCGTTGTTCTGTATTTTTTTCATGTTGAAGAACTTTATGTTTTGACAATTTGTAATTCGTGGGATATTTAGGCATGTACATGTAGTTCATGCTGCTGGTAGTAGGATTTCGACCTGCTTCCCAGTTAGGTAGCATGGTCTATTGCTATATTCAGACTAAATTTCCTCATGCGAAATATATAATTCTAAGCAGGAAACTTAAATTCCCAAAGGAGAAGCAGACAGTCCAACTCTCCTTTATGCAGTAGAGGTCTGTTGCTTTAAAAAAATAAATTCTTAAAGCTTTAATAAGGGCTTGACATTTAAAAATAGAGAAATTCATCTCTCCTTTCCCCGCCACGCTTTAACTACTTTCTCTTCTAGAGCTTATGGATGTGCAAAAAAGAGCTGGTTACTGCTCCTTGCCCATTCTTTCCATGTGACTTTTCTTTTTCTTGCATTCTATTCATTCTTCATAGTTGTTAAATATCTATCTATGCCTTTAATATGAAGCAATGAAGGAAGTATATATTGAAGTAACTGTCATATCTATAAATTAGAGCAGATTGCTTCATCCTCGTTTTGTTTATTTTCTGAGACAAGCTTTCACTGTGTATTCATGGGTGTCCTAGAACTCACTCTGTAGACCAGGATGGTCTCAATCTCATAGAGGCCCATCTACCTCTGCCTCCCCAGTGCTGGGGTTAAAGGCGTGCGCTACCACTGCTTGACACCTAATCTCTTTTTATAAATAAAATTTCTGTGTTTTTAAAAGCCCAAAGTAGGGTAGACTATTCTTGATATTTTAACTTAGTAACTTTTTTGTCTTTTCTGTGAATTATTAATTTTAAGTCTAATATTTTTGTTCATATTTTAAAATTCAGTCTCCTCTACACAGGAGGTAACCTCCAAAGATAACAGAGTATGAATTGCTGAAAATACCCACAAATCTTTTAGACTAAGGATAAGTATTTATAAAGTACCTTGTCATTGATCCAGCTGACTAATAAATTGACCCTCTTTTTATAACTTCTTGCACAGTTAAAGTTTAGCTGAACTATCTAGACCAAGAGTTGGCAATAGTTTTAGAACTAGAGGGTTCAGGGAACATAGTCAATTTCTGACTTAGTGGGGCCATTTCAGAAGTTGCCTATCTGTCAAGCAGAGGCTGACTAGCTTAGTGAACTCTTCCTGGGTCCTCTGCATGAGCATTGGGTTGACAGGCAAGCCATTGCACCTGCTAAGTCAATCTAAGTGAGACTGCCCTGTTCAGCTAAAATTGGGGTTAGTTAATTTTTGTTTTCTTCTTCTGATTGCAATTAATTGGTAGCTCCTGGTCGTGTCTTTTAACATAGTTCAGTCTGACCATGAGGATGCTGGTTTGTAAACTTTTGAGCGTTCACCAAACACTCCAGCAGCGACTGTGTGAAGTAGTGGATATTATTTCATATTTGTGTCTTATTGTAGCTGAAAACTATACTTTCTCTAAAACAAAGTTCTCTAAAATAAGCTGGAAAAGGGGAAAAACCATGGTTTTTTTTCTTTCTTTATTCTTATGAGTATTGGTGTTTTGCCTGCTTGTATGTCTGTGCACCATGTTTCTGCCTGGTGCCCACTAGAAAAGGGCATTGAGTCCCATGGGACCAGAAGAGCAGCCAGTGTGCTTCACTGAGCCGTGTCCCCAGCCCCAATTATTGGATTTATTTTTTAATATAAATGCAGAATCTCAAAGGTAGGGCTTTACTTTGTTCTTTTCAAGGTTTACTCAGGTATTTTTTTCCTTTGTAACTTTAAAATCGAAGCCCACTCATGAGCTTCCAAACATTGAAAAATTTCTGCTGCTGCTGCTGATTTTTAATATAACGCCTTCCAGTAATTCAGTAATCTAAAAAACAGTGATCATTATATAAAATGTTGTAACTGTTAATAACCAACAGAAGTCTGTGAAAATTAGACTTTCTTATGAGAATGAGTTATGCTTGGCAGTGAGTGACATACTTGATCACCAATGCCTAAAACCAATCTTCCAAATTACTCAGTGCAGTTACTCGGTCCTTCTACAGACCTGGAAGCAACTATTAACAGAAGCCCCTGTGATCGCGACTAAGCACGCAGAGAGCCTGTTTGCATCAGAGGCACACACCTTGCAGACACTGGATAGGATTGTTTTTCATGCTTTCCTCCTTTCTATTTGGGCAAAGGAGATGATGTGTCTCTTCTTGTAGAGACAGGACAGTGAGGAAGGAGAACCTGTGGTCCCAGACAGGTGATTTTAGGAAACACTGTATCTGTAGTATACTTGTGAGAATTTAATATTTACAGCTGGAGGAGGAATATATCTCTAAAAGAATGTCCTACAGTGTGTGGCTTCACTAACAGGGATTTTTTTGTCATGAAAACATGTCTTCATCTCAGCTGAGGAGAAAGTGTGTAACTTGTCTCTTCTTCAGTCTCTGATAATGAGGAAATTTCTCTATAACCAGTGTTCTTATTAACTGATGCAGACTTAAATGTCTTGTCTGTTAACTCATGTCATAATAGAAGGATGATACATGGTTATAGATCATAGGGACATTGTTTTAAGGATCATAAATTAGTGCATCAGATTCTAAAATACAGACCTACTTGTGTATTACAGGGGCTAACACCAGCACTGATTTCCAGGTACAGTCAGCTTTCCTTACCCATGGGTTCTGCATCCAGTCAGCCTACTGCATATGTATTTAGCATGTATTTTTTTGTCATTATTCCTGAAACAGTGCAGTGTAAAGGAGCTGAACAGCATTTGCATTGTATTGCTGTGTATAAGTAATATGAGCATAGAAAATTACAAAGTATGCCAGAGAATACATAGTTACATGCAAAATCTCATTTTATATAAAAATTTTATATAAAAGATCTGAGCCTCCACAGGTTTTAGTATCCATGGATATTTAAGAACTACTATATACTTCCTTACTTACTGAGTGCTACCATAATGGTTCCGTCTCTATTAACAGCAGTTAACAGTAGAATTAAACTGCAGTATCTTGATTTTTTTTTTAGTTACTTTAATGTAAGAAAAGTTTGTCTCTAAATATTTTTCCACTTTAACTTGTGTGTGTGTACACATGTATGTTAGAGAACATCAGAATCCGTTCTCTCCTTCTACCATGTGGATTCCAGGGATCAAGCTGAACTGTCAGGCTTGGCGGCAGGAGCTCTCACTTGCTGGGCCATCTCACCAGCCCCTAGTCTATAATTTATATTGGGAACTAGAGAATCTGTACCTATAAAAATAAAATTACCAAAACTGGCTCCAGCATTCCTCTGTTAATATAACTTATTTGCTTAATATAAAAAGGTTTAAGCTGAATTCCTTTACCAACGCATTCCAACATCAGTCAGCATGGTTTTCAGGAAGATTTAAGTTCCAAATTTAGATTCTCTTTTTTTCTGAAAGTAAATTATGGTTACAACATTTCTTCTCTTTCCTCCTCCCAGTCCTTCTTATGTGCAACCCCCACTCCCTCTTTGTTTCTTTGTTGCTGTTAGTGAATTATGTGTGGATGTAAACCAGTATAAAAATACAACCCGCTCAGTCCATTCAGTGTTACTTGTTTGTGTATGATTTCAGCGCTAACAGGCTGAGGGCTCATCCTTGACTGAGACTGTTTCCCCACTCTCAGCATTCCTTACTTGTCTGCGGCTCTTTAGCTAGGAGTGGGGCCCCATGAAATTCACCCTGCCATGCTAGCTTGTCTATTGGTCATTGTCCAAGTCATATTTAGGCAGCCATGTTGTTAAGGTGTCATGGATAAAGCTTCCTTGTTATTTCTGAGAGACACATTCTCAGCAGATTCCGAGGTCCTCTGCTCTCAGAATCTTTCTGTCTCCTCTTCCATAATCAGCCCTATATTCTAAATTGCATGTTGGTATTATCAGATAATAAAAATGTTATAGATTTGGGTTGGCAAATTCTCGAGAGAGTGAAAACCTTAATACTTTGTCTTTTGCCAATTTCTTTTAACTGGATACATTTAAATTTAAATTCTAGTTCAGGCTATGCTTGTTGATAATTTTTTCTCTTTTAATCCCTGGCTGTCTCCTCCTCTCCCTCTCCATCCCTCCCTTTGTTCTTGAGACCTTTTTTGTTTACAACAAGAAATAGTTTGTGATTATGCTTTTACATGTAATCAATTGAGTTCAGTATTTATGTATAGTTTATGTAGAAACCATTTACAAAATAATATCACTATTTTACAGTGACCTATAAACTGTAAATTTGGAGCAGGAAAAAGGCTAATGAATTGATTACTAGAATCCCTGTTCAGTGAATCATATCTACAAATGAGTTACTAGCTCTCAAATAAACCCATAGTAAGACAATCTGAGGTTGAATTAGGTCTTCGAATAATAGTAACAAGTTTTATCTGTGTGCTCCAGGTTATTTTTATACCATTTTTATTTTCTTAACTTCTCCCTAGAAGTCAATAAGGTATACCTAAGTATCTCTTTGGTAGATGGATAAGTAAAGTTGAGCTGAGTTCTTATTCAGAACATTCTGTGAAAATCTGTTTTGTTTTGGGGTGTTTTTGTTTTGTTTTTTTTTTTAAGTGTGCTCTAATCAGAAACTGAAGAAATGCCTAAACAGTTAAATGTACTGTAGAGGTCTAAGTCCTCCAGAAGGAGGTGCCCAGGACCTACGTGGATCCTTTACTCTAGTTCAGGGAACCTGGCACCTACTTATTGTCCTCCATGAACATGAGACCTTCCCGGTACACATGTATACTTGTAGGCAAAGTACTCATGTGGATAAAATAAAAGTAATTTGTTAAAATTATGCTAATCAGACGACAGGAAATTCTGTTAGCACCTTCCATTTTGTTACAGTAAATTACATGTAACAAACTTGACCTTTTTAAGAATGAAGTGTAAAGCTCAGTGGCGTTAAGGGTCTTCACACAATTGTGTAATCATAT